TAACCATAAATTTTATTTAAAAACCTATCTTTTGGTGCACCTTATTTGCCTTTTTTTTTGCCTGAGTGAAAGAAAATTATATTCTTTAGGTGAATTACTTAATCTTACTGGATTTCGCTCAGGTCACTAGAAGGTATAAATATAATTTTATTACTAAACTTCTTGAGTTTTTTTATATTATTATCATGAAAAATACTTCTGCATCGAAGACCTCATTACCAAGTAATGCATTTAATGTGTTTATACAATGTTTATATATTCTATATAGAGCTATTCTCTCTTTATCTATTCATTAAACTATTCATGCAGCAGTAGCGCTAGTAATAACATAGTGAACAAAATGGGATTATTAAATACATCATAGGAGGTTTAATACTTTCTACTATCTAGATATAATCATGTTTTAAATGTTCAGAAATGTCTATCATTCTTAAATATATTCTGAAAAGAAATGAACCACTGCTTTTGTGAGTCATATTACTTTTCCTTAAATGCTTTATTGTATTCACTTGAAAGTGAGAAATAGATGAATATACTCCTGTTTAGCTATTCAATTCTTTTGATTCTATGTATCATTTGACCTACATAATTTAATTTAATTTCACCAATGAAAAAAAAAGTCAACTATTCACCAGCTACAGTTGAAAAGAACCACATGCCCTGTCAAATACAGTTTTAAAAAAATATCTAAGGAAATATAACAGACATTTTCAAAAGATTATAATTTATTATCTTATACCATGGGCGGAGTGATATCACATGCAGCTGACCAGGGTTTGATTTCTCTGTCCCTCTCAGAGAACACGGCAAGCTACCACAAGTATCCCGCCCACAGAGCCTGGTAAGCTCCCTGTAGTGTATTCGATGTGCCAAAAACAGTAACAAGTCTCACAATGCAGACGTTACTGGTGCCCGCTCAAGCAAATCAATGAACAAAGGGCGGACAGTGCTACAGACAGTGCTATCTTATACTTATAAAGGTAAGGTAAAGGTAAAGGCCCTCCCGTTGATCATCGATTTGCTCGAGTGGGCCCAGTAACGTCTCCATTGGAGACTTTGTTGTTACTGTGTTTGACATACCGAATATGCCAAACACAGTGGTTTTGGCACAGCGGTAGGGCGTTTTGCCTTGCACGCAGCCAACATGGCCGACCCGAGTTCGATTCCTCCACCCCTCTCGGAGAGCCGGCAAGCTACCGAGAGTATCTTGCCCACACGGCAGAGCCTGGCAAGCTCCCCGTGACATATTCAATATGCCAAACACAGTAACAGCAAAGTCTCCAATAGAGACATTACTGGGCCTGCTGGAGCAAATCGATGAACAACGGGAGGGCCTTTACCTTTACCTTTTAAATTATTGAAGAAATAACTTGCTTACATGTATTTTATTACTTTTAATCACCAAATTATTGCTGTAAAATAAACCCTTTTTTGCCTAATAATAATAGTGATTTGTTTGTCTTGTTGGAGGGCCACTCCCAGTGGTATCCATGATATTATTCCTGTCTCTGTGTTCAGGATTCTCACCTGATAGTGCTCAAGGGACCATATTCAGTGTTGAGAGATTAAATTAGGGTTGGCTACTTGCAAGGCAAGTGCTTTAACCAGCTAATTGTCTCTCTGACTCGGTGGTAATTTTAACAATGAAACTAAAAAATTAAGTCACTTAATTTCTTAGTTAAGTCAAAGTACCCCATATTTTAGAGGTTTAACAAAACTAATATATGGAATATATGAAACTGTTTCTAAAATTTCCAACTTTTCCAATTATTATTGTCATACTGGTCACTTCTGAAAGTGATCATTTTGGACAGAAACTGAGTGTTGAAAGCGGTAAAGGGATATACCTTATTGGATAATATTGGTTTGCCCTTCCTCCCTGGCCACTGGGAACTTGTGTTTGTTGATTGTCCCCCAACCTGTCAATTACCTTTGTCTCCTGATCAGACTATGACTGTAAACATTGTCTTTCTCTTAATGCTTAATGTTAAAGTTAAGAGCTTGGTCACGGACAAATTCTGTCATGATCGAAAAGTAATAGCTAGACTTGGACCCTGCTGGGGTTAGGAATGTTTAAATCGGCCTGAGCACTGTAGTCTGAGTCTGTAACAAGATGTCCCTAGGAGAGTCACCCTATAAGCCTAAGTGTCTATTACTGTGTTCATACAGAATGGTAAATATTAGGAAGAAGAATTAAAGATGTTAATAAAATTGTGGGCTGCAGGTGGTCGGGAAGACTGGGAAAACATTTTCATTGCCCTTCCCAATTGGGGAGGCATGGTGAGAGAGGAAAAAAAAGAGTAGCTTCAGGGAGAGAAGGGGAGAAGAGAGGAAACATAGAGACAGAAGAAGACTGGAGATTGAGGAGTGACACAGAGAGGAGATGGATGCAGTGGGAAGAAAGGATTGAGGGGTTACAGAGACAGACAGATGGATACAGAGAGACAGAGATGGAGAAGGAGACACAGGAAGAGACAGAAGAAGGAGTAGATTGAGTGAGACATAGAGTTAGAGAAAGATTGAGGAGGATTGAAGGAGAAAGTGAGAAGAGACGCAGAGTTAGAGGAGAAGGTTGCGAGCTGTAGAGAAGGCTGAGGGCTGAGAGTTAAGCGTGGCTGGGGAGATTGGAGAGGAGTCCCGGAGAGAGTTGTAGAGCGAGATAGAGAGAGGGTTGGAGAGATCTGGGAGAGATGAGAGATTGAATAAACGTCAAACTAATCAGCAACCAGCTTAGCCCTTGTTCTTCCTTCGCCCGTCCAAGTCACGGCCGTCCCTGGTGGGGAAGCAGCTCGAGAGCACCAAATGCAGGCGCGAGAGCACGCAATGAGAGAGTCGCCTGGAGGGCCCTCGAACATCTGTTAACATGTAATCCCCGAGTGAAGGAGTTTCCACAGTTCTGCAGAGAGGGTTTTCCACAGCTCCGAGAGTGGGGATTACACAATCCCTGATAACCTTTCATTATCTATGTTGCAAACCATACATAATGGCCAACAGGAGAGAGAGAGAGAGAGAGAGAGAGAGAGAGAGAGAGAGAGAGAGAGAGAGAGAGAGAGAGAGAAAGAGAGAGAGAGACGACAGAAAAGGTGCTTGTCATAGAGCAGACAGGGTGCGGGAGCGGGAGGGAAACTGAGGACATTGGTGGTTGGAAATGTACACTGGTGAAGAGACAGGTGGTGAAACATTATCTGACTGAAATCAAATCATGAATACATTTTTTCTTTTTTGTATTTATTTCTTTTACTTTGTTTCTTTTGTCTTTGCATGTTTAACACTTGGTGATTGTTTTGTGGTCACGTCACGTGATGCAGGGAAAACCAGGCTGTCAGCCCAAGATCCAACAGGAGCTCCAGAACGAACTTCAGCTCTTTGAGCTCTCTCTGACCTTGAATGTGACCTGTTCTTTTGAACCTGTTTTATTTTCCTACTTTTGTTGTTCCTTTGATAAATGGAATACAGTTTTTTACGAAAAAAACATTTTAATGTAACCCACCAACTTTCCCATCATGCCCATCTGCTGTTCCGGTCCCAGTCCTTCCCCGTTTCCCTCCCTTTCATTCATCACCCCACATCTCTCCTAGGACCGTCTCTTCCCCCCACCGCCCTCCCAGCCTCAAGAAGAGCCGGTCCCAACCGCTCCGGGAGTGGTGACCTAGTGCGCATGTCCCAGTTCGGATTCTCCCAGGGCGCAGCCTCCAACGCCAGTTATAGCGTTGGTTTTTGTGTGAGGTTCCGTTAGCATGGATGTTTGGAGCAGGCTGCAGGCACCAGGCACCGCGGAAAACCCCCGAGAGCTCCCGGAAGCTAATATATATTGAGCTCCCAAGTCAGTGAAGTCAGGATGCTGTGGTCTGAAAGACACATTGGCCACCTTGGGGAGTTTGCAAATCCAAAGAAGTTAGTCATATAGACCTCACTGTTGAGCCGCACTGGCTAAGTGCCCTGATAATACTGGCTCTGAGTATTGTTGGGAAGATGAAGTGAAATGGTGCATCTAGCTTTGCTGAACCACGGGCCTGAGTAAATGGCGATTGATCTTTATATGTTCCAAGAGCTGATATTCGGGCTTCTTGCTACATCTGTTCTCTTCGCTTGGTCCCTATTTACAGTCACCCCTGACTAACTCTGAGGGCCGTTGACTGTTCATCTGTAGGTTCTTTACCCAGTATGTGTGTTAGAATCCCACAGCCTGATCATTTATTGATAGACCACCCATACCTTTTGGAGATATGTCTCAAATTTCTTTATTTAACAATGGTGGTCATGAAACATAAAGACAACCTCTGTGAAACTATTTTTACTTTTCATCAGGTTATCTTATTATGCTAATCCTCCTCCTTCAGCCTATTCTGTTTTTTTTTTATATTAAACCAAACCCCCTCACTGCATCATTTCTCCCCTTCTTTTTTGGAGGAGTCTGGCGATGGAGGAATACTTGCCTGTGTTCAGGGCTTACTCCTGGTTCTGTGCTCAAGGATAACATCTAGTGAAACTCGTGGGACCACATAGGATTCCAGGGATGAATCTTGGGTCAGCCTCCTGCAAGTGCCTATCAGGTATACTATTTCTCTGCCTCCCCAACTCTTCATCAGTCCCATAAAATTTCTCCTCTTAAGGGCTTTAAAGCCCTGAGCCAATTTTCCCTTTCTTAGATTCTTATCTGTTTCCCCCTTTGTCCCCCCTCTAACTTCTATTTCTTTCTCATGTATCCTTCAACCCTCACCTCCTCCAAATAAGCACCACAGTGGAAAGCCTCTCAACATTCAGAAATTTTATTACTAATCTATTCACTTATATGCATCTATTTTTAAAAATATCTCAGAATAAATGAAATTTGTATGGCATTTCAAGTGTTTGTCTAAGGAACCATCCTGTACCTAAAGTGGCTCCAGCCATTGTAGCTACTTATAGCCATAGAGATGTCCATATCTTTATCTCATAAATATCTGGATGAAAAACTACACTTGCCCCAAAGAGGTGCATTTGGCAGCGTTCTCATGCTCCTACTGAGCCTTTCTCTTCATAACCTCACGCTCTGGTCTCTGCTCTTTTGTGGCGGCCTTTGACATGACTGGCTCGAGAACATTGGGCTTTCTACATGGAATCGGTTGGAAACGGGAGTCTTGGAGTAGAAACTGACTCTGACCTTTGGGTGGAGCCTGGTGCTTGGTCCCAGAGACCAGAAGATGGCCCTGCTGGAGAGAAGTGCTAGCTGTTGTCTTGTAGGGAGCAGGTCTAGAAGTTGCAGACTGAGAGATAGGCCGGCTAGTAGAGCTCAGCAAAGCTGGTCGAGATGGGTTGGTCGAAATGGGCTGAGCTGGTCTGGCAGGACCTGACAAAGATGCAGTAGCTGGCCGGGATGAATTGGTGGCAGTTGGCTGAGCTGAGATGGTAGAGCCAGGCCTGGCAGGATAAGCTGCAGCAGGACGATGCGAAGCCAGAATCTGTGGTCTCCGACGAACACGTCGAGGTTGGGGCTTCTCCATGGTAAGAAAAGGCAAAGGTATCAATTTGACCTTCCCAGGAGGTGGCAGCTCATACAGGGATGGATCCAAGTGTTCTTCAGCACTGCTGCTTGGTTTCGGAGCTTTGACCTGAGTTTTCTCCAGACCTTTTCCATGACTTGTAGCACTTGGCCATGGTTTGACAGCTGTGGAGGGCTGGATGTCTTTGGGCTTCTTTGAACTACCCAGGACCCGGGAAGAAGAGGATCCAGGCTTTGACTCATACTTCTTCCCCAGTGCATCAAACGCTTGCACGGACTCCAGCATTTGCATGCCCTGGCAGCTGCGGGGCTTTTTAAGGGAGTCTTGGCAAACCTCAGGTTGACTTAACTTACGTTTCATCCTGGCAGTGGTGGACTTCTCTTCTGGCTTCACCTTGTTCCCGGTCTGCTTATGGTGATCAGCTTTCTTAGAGTTTTCTCTGGCCTTTTTTGTCTTCTCCTGCCCGTGGCTCTTTGTCTTGCTGATCCTGCTGGACGCAGCTTTCTGAAGTTTGCTGTTATTACGTTTGGCCATGGTCACAGGACACCTGTCACTGACTGCAGCATTACAAATAATGCCTGCTTCCCCTAGCAAGCATACTGGGTTTTTGGAATGGATTTTGGCTTTGGGTTCTCCCTCAAGAGGTTCAGAGGCCTGGTTTTTGTTCTTCCGTGTTGGGTGGGAGGTCCCCTTAGTGCCACCTGAGTGTTTTTGCCCCTGATTCAGAGTGATGGTATCTGTGGTGTTCATTTCCTGTGGATCTATATATTGATCTAGGTCTTCTAAGCCATCAAAAATCTGGGGAAGTTGTTTATCTTCCAGCCATGTCATGATGTCTTCAAAAACACCACCAGATTCAATTTGACTTTCAAGTCTTCCAGTGCCCTCCAAACATTGATCACTCTTTTCCTGATGAGCAGTACCAGGCTGTTGCTCTTTGCTGAGAGGATTGATGCAGGCCAGGAGCTGGTGGATATCAGGGATTTCTAAAGGGCACAGTAGAGGATCTTGGTTTGTTATTGGGAACTGGTAGGTATCCGGAGACTTTGAAAGCCCAATGTTCATCTCATTCAAATTCGTATCTATTTCTTCCTGAGTTGGAGCTGGGGGTAGTGCCAGGTAATTTTGTGCTGAATCTATTGTGAAAACATCCGGGAGCTCTGGTGGTGGGTGACTCTCAAGTATTTGATCGGATGGTTGCAATGCCAGGGAAGTCTCCATCCTCAGGGAATTCATCACTACAAAGGAAACACAGAAGAAATCAGTGCTTGTAAATAAGATACTCCCTCCACACAACTCACGGTGCCACAATTGGGCACCTTCTGGCAATGTGCAAGACATTGTTACTGGCTCTTCTAAGGATCATGGACAAGGCCCTGAGCTAGAAGATTGGAGGTAACTCTTGTAGTTCTGTTAGTCATGTGGTGCCGTTGTTTTCTTTGTATTTGAAAGAAGTTCTGTGTAAACTTTACTTAAAAACAAGAGACTTGGAACAGAGGAATTGCACAGTCAGTAAAGCACTTGCCCTGTGCACAGCTGAAATTAGTTTGATCCTCAGCATCACATTTGAGCCCCTAAGCACCTTCGTAAGTGAACCCTGAGCACACAGCGAGGTGCAAGCCCTGAGCACTGCATTCTGTGACCCCCATACTGCCTGCCCCAAACTAAAGATTTTTTTCACCTAGAGATTTGTAAACTATTAAATGCTATACAGAACTTAGCACAATATGGTCAATTTCTTCACTTTACTGAAAAAAATACCCCAGAAGTTCACATCATGGAATAAAAGAAGGAAAGAAGCACCACTTCATCATGAATTCTGTGCTCAAGTAGAGATTCTAGGTTTGATAACTTTGGACAGGATCTCTGAGTATATTGTGTATTAAAGTAAGGGGAAGTTAACGTGGTATCATCACAATAAGAGTTCTTAAATGTCTTCAGAAATCACAAAAACAATAATTTAAGAAATTATTTAGTTAATAATTAATTATTAACTAAATAATAATTAATGGAGCTCATTGTTACTGTGGTAATACTGGCCGACTGATCCCCTATGAAAATGTTGCATTTCTTGTTATGATACTGAAGTTTTCTTGTATGTAACCTAGGTGGTCTTTATACTATCATACCTTCCAATCTGCTTTAGAAGCTCTGATGTGGAGAGTGAAAATATGGTGCTATAAAATGAGTAAGGGGTGTTTAAACTTAAACTGAGTTTATTTGACTTCAGGTCTCATAAATTTAAAAAATCTCAGTGTATTTAACAGAAATGCCACCTGTCTATGGACAGTTTCCCTCTTACAGATTTGACCCCAAGTTTTGAATGCCAGATTTCACTTCTCTCCAGTTTACTCACCTTGATAACTCGATTCTGTGATGGGTGGAGCAGGCACAGAGTAGTAGATACCAGAGCTGGAGGCAGGTAGTTGGTTCTTTGGGGGCTGGACCTCCTTTAGAACCATAACCATTTCTGGAGATGCATTGCTGGAAGCTTGGAGGGCAGAGCCCCTACCTCCTTTGTATGTCATAGAGTCATTGGATTGCAGGAAAGGACCAGATTCTCCAGAAAGGAGAGGTCCCTGAGTGTCCTGATGATAGTAAATCCCCTGGCTTCCTTCCTGGTAGGGAAGCGACAGGCTATAACTCTGATTTGGAACCTGAGATGGTGACCTCTCAACAAGACTAGCAGAAAGTGATGGGTACAGAGACACCATGTGGTTGGTATCTAAGGTTTTCTCATAGCAAGATGCCATAGACATGGAAGAGACATTGGTGTCTTGGTCAAGGCGAGTCACAGTGAAGTCTTCTGTGTTAGACTTCTTTTCAGTACTTCCTGCAATATCCCACTCCAAAACACTTGGGTCGGAAGCAGACAACATGGATAGCTGGCTCTGGTCAGACACTCCAGACAGCATTGTTGTGCTAGAATGTTGGTCAAGATAGGCACTACCCATTAGTGGTTGGAAAGAGATGCCAGCATCTGAGGGCAGGAGCCAAGCAGATCTATCAGCTGGAGTAGATAGGTTGGAGTAGTTGCAGACACTTCCTGTTAGGGAAGCTGCATTGTTCACCATGGGAAGGGGAAGCTGCAGAGAATGTGCAGTTCCCAATATAGATGGATTTTGAATATTTTCTGTAAGGAACAAGAGGGTGATGAAAAAAATCTGTGAGACTGATAATCTCCGACAACTTTTTTTCTTTCTTTTTGGGTCACACCCACATGGATTTGTCGCTTACAGCTAGTTTCTCCTTGTCCTAGCTCTACCCGTAGCTTGTGCTCCTGTTGAACTTTACGTTATTTCCTAGAACAGAAGCATTTTAAAACTAGGAAGTCCTAAGAGAATGAATAACATGTTATTGGAGAAGAAAGAAACGCAAGGCCCAGAATTGGCATAGAGACTTGTTCAAGCTTCCCATTATTTTTATTGGGATTGGGGTGGGGTGAGTTGGATCCATACCTGGCAGTGATCTTGGGCTATTCCTGGCTCTGTACTCTGGAGTGACCCCTCGTAGTGCTCAGGAGACTGGATTCAGTGACAGAGATCCAACTGGATTGGCTGCCTACAAGGCTAATGCCTTATCCCCTCCTGTACTATCTTGCTGTCCCTTATGTATTACCAGGTTATGGAACCTAAGCATGTGAACTTTCTTGCTAGGACTCTTCCTTAATCACTACAATGTCAGAAACTAGGAGGAAGATACTTTCCATTCATATAGGCATGTGGGGTCGTTACAACTATTACCATTGTAATCTTCAGGTTTTGTATTTTGCTTGTGCATTTCCTATCTATTACCTACGGCTCACATATAACTCAAACTACTTGATGAATTGAAGGTTCGCAACTGTACCCTGGTTTCTGATCCCCCCTCAAAAATGAGTACTTTAGTTTTTCTCAAGATGTGTTTTTGGAAGGAAGACTGTAGTTAAATTCTGAGTCTCAAGTTGCTTTCCTGCAAAGGAGTTACATACAATCTAATTAAGAATAATGTGTACACAGAAATAAAATTTGTCTATTTTACATGATTTACATGGGAGGAAGTATAGAGATAAAGAAAAAAATCATGAAAAATATGTGTCACGGAACTGAAAAAGAAGTATTTAGATATTAATGAAATCTGGGCTATGTGGCAAGCAGCATAATACAGTAACTGATTACAGCAGATCCAAGAGTAAGCCCTGACCAACAGTGAATGTTGTCCCCAAACCAAACAAAGAAAACAGTAAAATAAGTTTATTAAGAAATTGAGTCATGTATACTATATGAAGATAGTATTCTATTTTAGCAAAAACTACTAGCCAAAAAAGGAAATAGAAAGTGATTTTCAAGTGTATAGCTTACCAGTCCATAAAACAGAAGATTTACCAGTAACTTACATAACAAGCAGAAAATATAATACATGTGATTGCATTAGGTACCCAGTATATGGTTTTAAAGGAGTATAAATCAGAAATAAATATAATAATTACAAGGAAATGACATTATTATTCTCATTCATAACTCTAAATATTAGCCATCAAACAGGTATTAAATAGAGCATACAATTGCAGTAAATCACACAAGAAGCAGAAAAGACCATTTAAAAAATGGTCACAAAAATTTCATATTTATTTTTAAAACCTATATGACAAGTATCTTTATCAACAAGGAAAATGTCATTCCCAAAGTTTCAGAAACAATCACCAAAGTCCAATTGAAATATTTTTAACGTAGGAAAACTCAGACTCCACAAAACTGAAATCAGTGTGTACTTAGAAATCTGAGACTTGACTTTTCTATTTCTTCTTAGAATCTGAAAGCAGGTGTCCACTGCTATCAAAATGCTATCATGTTAGGACATCTTATTATCTCATTCCTACTTTGGACAAACTGGCAGGCTACCGAATGTAACCTGCCCAAACGGCACAGTCTGGCAAACTCCCCATGGTGTACCCAATATGCCAAATACCAGTAACAATGATGGGTCTCATTCTCCTAACCCTGAAAGAGCCTTGAATATGGCACTTTTTAAAAAATCTCAGGGCTAGGACTAAGGAGATGTTACTGTGGCCTGCTCGAGGCAATCGGCATTAGGAAGAAACTACTTTTTTTTTCTTTTTTGGTCACACCCAGCACTGCACAGGAGTTCCTCCTGGCTCATGCACTCAGGAATTACTCCTGGTGGTGTTCAGGGAACGATACGGAATGCTGAGAATTAAACCTGGGTCAGCCATGTACAAGGCAAATGGCCTACCTATCACACCAGCCCAGAAAGAAACTCTGTGAAGATGACAAGTTGCCTTAACCTGGACCCTACTTACCACGCAAAAGAATCAATTCTCCTGATTCAGGTTAGAAGATACCACTTCTTTATTTTAACAGGCAGAGCATACATGTCCCTTACAAACTAGAATGTAATAAAAACATTGAAAATGATGTGTCTTCCATCCCCATGGTAATCATTATTAGTTATTTATAGGAAGTATCATTTCTAAAACGTGTTTACATTCAAAACCGCCAAGTGTCAACTGTGTTCTAAAGACAATAAGAAAAGAAACCACATCCATGGTTTTCTGATAGGCTGTTTTTCCTACTGGTACTCTACTCAAGACATAATGTGTTTTCTAGTCCTAGAATTTATTAAAGTCAACTGCTTTGACTTGCTCTCAGCATAGTTAACTATATTATTTTTGTTTGGATATAAAGTATTTGGTTCTCTACAACATTCTCTCTCAAACTGTTTCTCCTTCCTTGATAACTTCCCTCCATAATCTTTATTTCCTATTTTATTCTCCCTCATATCATCTTCTACTTCTTGGCTTCTGTTGGTCAAAGCTTGTTGAAAATAACCCTAAACTGTCTTACCTTTGAGGACTTGCCTCCCTACCACTCAGAAATCCACACCTTTCCCACAATCCAGTTTTTCTTATCATCGAGTTTAGATAGAAAACTCAAAAGATACATGATAATGACTTTTGAATAGCACTAAATTTAAAATAATAAATTATAAATACAAGTGGAGAGACCACTACAGATAAAACATCCCGGTATATATTAAATTTTCTACCAAAACTACATTTTCTGTTTCTGTCAAAATATTGTCTCTGATTTACTTTTTTTCATGGACATCATGTCAAAAGCACTATTAAAAGGAAAAGGAAACACAGAGAGTGAACATTCATATATATAATCATGTATTTGAGGTTGTAAGCATGTATCAAATATAATGTAATCAACGAAGAAAAACACTTTGTATGAGAGAAAGGAAGTCAATGTCTAAAATCACACAGCAAATGTGAACCTTAAGCTAAAATAAGGCTTACCATATTCTAGTTGAATATTTTCCTCGATTATTACATGCTGTTTTTCCTTAACTACCAAGTTTAGGGATAAGAAATCTAATGAAAAGCTTTGAAAAATATTATTCCTTACCTGACATGATCAGAAAAGAGGAAATATCAAGGAAAGGTAAATGAGAAGAGGAGACGATATGAGAGTGTGTCTGAACACTGAAGCGGAAGTCCACAAGTGTCCAATACAGGTGACTAATCACTGGCGATTGGTCATTGGTTACTGGTCACTTGCTATGATCCCAGCTTGTTTACAGACAACTGCATGGGAGCCCCAAGATTCTACCAGGTGCTGGTAGGTTTGGTGGGAGAATGATGTCATAAAGCAGGCAGTTGAAAGGTAGAGGCTAGCCAATAGGGAGGTCAGATTCCCAAGAAGAAGACTGGATTGGATAGCCTGAGAGGCAGACTGAAGTAGGCTAGAGAGATGGAATCTTACAAGACAGTTATAACAGTTTCACCTTCCTCAGACTCTTAGGTTAGGGTAATGCTCCTATTATACTGATGAACTTACATATTTCATTAATAAACCAACAGTTACCATGTAATAATTTGTATTGCTTAGTTAACCAATAACATTAAGTTCCTACCAGTGTATTTTGTATAATGTTTAATAATATTAAATTATTTGTGAATGCTTTGTAATATACATTATTACTTTAGGGTTAGGAAATGATGAATTATTATGAGAAATCTACCCCTAACAAAACCCCCTAAGTTTAGGGTGTTCTGCTAGCAAACATGCACCCAGAAAAGAATAGAAGGCAAGGATAGTATAGATGACAAAGTATTGTGCCAGGCAAACATAGACTAATACTTTGTACGGTCTTTTAGATTTAGGGGACAATATAGCCAAAACTAGAACAAACAACTTTCACGATCTTTATTTATTTATTTATTTTGATTTTGAGTCCTCACCTAGCCATACTCAGGGCTTGCTCCTGGCTCCACACTCAGGAATCACTCCTGGAGGAGCTCAGTAGACTGGGTGCAAGAGAGGTACCCTCCTGCGCAAACAACTTTATATTTTCCGGATGCCTACTGATTTCTGTGAACTGCACTAGCCTCTGCACTCCATGTCCCTGTGGCATGGATATATACTTCCTACCTGTCCTTGATGTCTCTGTCAACTCCAACAATGGCTCACCTGTTGGGATCTGCTGGGTTTGAGGGAGCAATATGCATTATATTGACCTGCCATGAGAGCACTGATGGCTACACACGTGACCCTAAAACTTGGATAATCCGCGTGTTTGTCAACTTTTGTGTTTGTCTCATTCTCTGAGACTGACTGCTGCTGAATGGAGGTTCAAAGTGACAATTGAATTTGGCAGATGAGAAACAATTTAGACAGATTATAACCAATTCTTGTGATCAACAAATCATACCATCTATTAGAAAATCCCAAGTAGTGTGGGATAAATGGGGACCTATAAAAAGAATCAGAAAGAACACAAGAAATACTTGAAGGCAGTTGTAATTTAAAATAGTATCGTCACCTGGATCAAAGTGATAATCCAGTGGGAAACGCACTTGCCTTGCACATGGTGGACCTGGATTCAATCCCTGCCATCCCAATATGTATGGTCCCTTGAACCCTTGAGGATTTTCATCATACATGGCAAACACCCTACTCACTGTAGTATCAATACAGATAGCCCAGGAAGTGTCTGTGTGTGTGTTTCATGAGTGTGTGTGTGTGTGTGTGTGTGTGTGTGTGTGTGTGTGTGTAGAGAGAGAGAGAGAGAGGTTTTGGGCCAGCCTCAGTGATACTCAGGCATTCCTGTCTCTGTGCTCAGGAGTGAATCCTGGTGGTACTCATGGGACCATATGTGGTGCTGGAGATAAAACTAGGGTCAGTCACATGGAATATTAATATAGTAACTTTTACATTATTGCTCAGTGCTGGAGCAGAAATATATTTTAGAAGTGAAAAAAAAGATGAGCCAGTAGGAGTCAGTGCAAAGACAGAATCAGGAACTTCGCTGGGGAAGGATCACCCAAGAGGCTGGGGACTGATTTCATACTACAACTGCAGAGATGAGCAGAGACAGAGACAGATCCTCAAAGAGTGACCAATTTACTATGTGTAGTTTTTTAAATAGAAAATATTTGCTGATCCTTAATTATCAAATGGAATAAAGAAAGGAAGACTGAGAGGAAGAAAGAGAAAGAAAGAAAGAAAGAAAGAAAGAAAGAAAGAAAGAAAGAAAGAAGAGAAAGAAAGATAAGGAAGGAAGGAAGGAAGGAAGGAAGGAAGGAAGGAAGGAAGGAAGGAAGGAAGGAGAAAGAAAGGCACATGTAAGGAAGGAAAGAGGGATGGAAGGAATAAAGGAGGGATGGAAAGTAGAAAGGAAGAAAGGAAGAAAGCAAGGAAGGAAGGAAGGAAGGAAGGAAGGAAGGAAGGAAGGAAGGAAGGAAGAAGTTTTTGGCTGATGGGGTTGGCTTCATTGGACCTCAGCCACCCCCCCTCTGGGATGCCCTGAATAAAACAGGCTGGCATGGGGTCTAGGGGCATGTCTATGGTGTATTGTTCTGTGCTCTCTTCTGAGAGATTCATTGTTGAGTCTCTGGATCAGGGCCATTGATGAGATTATATAGCACCAGAGGTGATTTGTGGGTGTGACTGCCTAGCTGCTGGAAACAGGGGGGAGTTGGGGAAAGGTCACTCATTCTCTGATTTCATTGAGCCTGGAGTTTTCAGTCAGAAGACTCACATACCTGAGTTTTACTACAGATTCGTGCATAGATGAGGTTTGTCCACACATGCGGATATTGGCCATGATCATGGCTTTCAAATTCTGGAGGATTTAGGCTGCAGGGGCTAGCTCCATTGGGGCGGGGAAGGGATGGTACTCTAAATAGATTTTGAATCACTTTATCTTTATTTTCTTATTTTTCTTGTTTCTTTTTTTGAGAGTTCTCTTGATTGAATCTTTATATTTTTAAAATTTTATTTTATTGAATAATCAGAGTCTCCTACCCTGTGCCTGACTGTCCTCACCAGGGCCCGACAGCTGAAGACCTCTGGGACCCAGCCAAAGTCATGCTGAGACCACTCTCCACATGCTTGGATGAGCCTCATGCATAAAGGAACTGGCAGAGGAACTCAAGTGTGCGAGACCCGGGGCTGAGATCTCTAAGCCTGAACGGTTTGGGACTAGACCTTCCAGTAGCTAAACAGTTATACCCACCAATGGCTGTGTAACCCCAACAATTGCCAGGATCCAGAGATTATCACACCAAGCTCCTGGAAGAGAACAAAGCAGAGTCTCCTACCCCGTGTCTGACCGTCCTCACTAGGGGCCAACAGCTGAAGACCTCTGGGATCCAACCAAAGCCATGCTGAGACCACTCTCCGCACGCTTGGATGAGCCTCACACATAAAGGAACCAGCAGAGGAACCCAGGTACCAGCAGAGGAACAAAGGTATGCGGGTCCCAGGGCTGAGATCTCCAAGCCTGCTCACATCAGGGCTGAGCATCCTCCACCCAGATCCTCCATCTTCCAATAGGCAGGGGTCACACCCACAAACTGCCCCTCACTGGCACTGTGTAAACCCATCAACAGCCAAGACCCAGAGACTATAAAACCCAGCTCCCAGACATCTTATTATCTCATTCTTACTCTGGACAACCTGACAGGCTACCAAATGTAACCTGCCCACATGGCAGAGTCTGGCAAACTCCCCGTGGTATAACCCAATATGCCAAATATCAGTAAAAATTATGTGTCTCATTCTCCTAACCCTGAAAGCGTCTTAAATATGGCATTTTTTAAAATCTCAGGGCTAAGACGAAGGAGTCGTTACTGGTGCCTGCTCGAGGCAATCAATGAACAACAGGATGATCGTGATCGTGATTTCTTTTATTGAATCACTGTGAGATAGTTGCAAGCTTTCATGTTCAGGTTACAATCACATAATGATAAAACACCCATCTCTCCACCAGTGCACATTCCCCACCACCAATATCCCCAGCATACCCCCCTTTTCCAACCCCCTCCTGCCTCCATGGCAGACAATATTCCCCATACTGTATCTCTACTTATGGGAATTATGATTTGCAATACAGATACAGAGAGGTTATCATGTTTGGCCCATTATCTACTATCAACACACATCTCCCATGCCGACTGATTCCTCAAGCCATCATTTTCTTAGTGATCCCTTCTCTATTCCAGCTGTCTTCTCCCCTCCACTCACAAGGCAGGCTTCCAGCTATGGAGCAATCTTCCTGACCTGTGTATCTACTGTCTTAGGTGTGAGCCTCATGTTATATTATTTTATATTCCACAAATGAGTGCAGTCCTTCTATATCTGTCCCTCTCTTTCTGACTCATTAAACTTTGTGTGATTCTCTCCATGTCTATCCATTTATAAGCAAAGTTCATGACTTCATCTCTCCTGACAGCTGTATAGTATTCCATTGTGTAGATGTACTAAAGTTTCTTTAACCAGTCATCTGTTCTAGGGCACTTGGGTTGTTTCCAGATTTGGGCTATTGTGAACAGTGCTGCAATGAACATATAGATACAGTCATTTCTACTGTGCTTTTTTGCATCTTCTGGATATATTCCCAGAATTGGTATTGCAGGGTCATATGGAAGTTCGATTTTTAGTTTCTGAAGGACTGTCCATATTGTTTTCCAGAAAGGCTGGACTAGTGGACATTCCCACTGACAGTGAAAGAACGTCCCTTTTTCCTCACATCCACGCCAACACTGGTTGCATTTGCTCTTTTGAATGTGTGCCAGTCTCTGTGGTATGAGATGATATCTCACTGTTGTTTAGATTTGCATCTCCCTGATGGCTAGTGATGTGGAGCATTTTTTCATGTGCTTTTTGGCCATTTGTATTAGGAAACTTCTGTTCATTTCTTTTCCCCATTTTTGATAATGTTGGAGGGTTTTTTTCTTGTACAATTCTACTAGTGTCCTATATATCCTGGATATTAATCCCTTAATAATGGGTATTGGGTAAATATTCTTTCCCATTATTTGGGCTCTTTCTGTATTTTGGTCACTGTTTCCTTTGAAGTGCACAAGCTTCTTAGTTTGATGTAGTTCCATTTGTTTATGTTTTCTTCCA